ATAATTGACTCAAAATCAATGATAATCATAACCACAGAGCAGAAAACTAGGTTATTACAAAGTTTTGGATTTTCGGCTTGGCCCACTTGTGACCACAAATATGTGTCTCGGTAACCGGTTTAGAGAAAGTTGGAAGGACAATATTTGAAACCAAACTTATACTTTTTTACTTGTTTATACTATAGCTCGTATACCAATGAATGCAGTGAAAGTAACAATTTTGTTTAGCTCGCAAACAATTAAATTAAAATGCACTAATTGGCTTAGCCGAAGACAGCACGGCCCTTACATGTTTTATTTTCAAACTATGCGCCATCAAAATTTATTATTATGCGGCAGTGCATGATTCGCTTGGGGCACCCAATTGCTTAAGATCGGCCCTGTATACATACATGTAATAGACAGTGTACCTATTTCTTTTATCACGCACTAAAAACGATTTCTTATCTGGTTTGTTTCTCAACATACATATGAAGACATGTATAATCTTAACAATTAATGCCCATTTTTAGGTACATACTTAGTATGTATGTATGTTTGTTTACAGCCGTTCCGCCTTCAGCCATATGCCGCTCTGTGGCACTAGTACTAAGTTATATTTTGATATCTCTATTTGTTTTGGCGTTTTCTCGCAAAAACTAAAACGATAAGATTTCAACAGCGTTATCAATCCAACACGTACTTGCATGCGTGCAAAGCGTAGGCCAATGCAATTGCGTGGTCCATCGCCAAAGCCGAGAAAAGCTTGTGGATGACGCTTTTGCACTTCCACTGGATCGAAACGTTCCGGACGGAATTCGTGTGGATTATCATAAATATCCGGATCGCAATGTATCTCCTTGGCTGGTATGAAAATGCGTGTGCCCTTCTCAAGTGTAATGTCCGTATCGGGCACCTTGTAAGCTTCGACTGAGACACGTGTAATCGATCCCAATGCAGGATATTTGCGAAGTGTTTCTAGAAAGAAGAGAAAAAGAAGCGGTTGTTATTCGAGCACATACGTATGTATAAAGTTAGATCAGTAATTCAATCATTCAAATAACTTACTTTAACCCTAGGACGCATACGATTAGCCTCTGGAGCTCACTCGCTTTTATATTATATTCGAAATTAGTTACAAATTAATTAAAACACAATAATATGGGCATACCAATACCATCCGTATTTTAAAGATGCCTAAATCAAAAATGTTTTTAATAGAGTTGCCACTTTTTTAAAACCGATTTTTTTTTTAATTTTTTGTTTAGAAAAAAAAAATAAAATATTACTGTTCATGGGTACCAAGAGAAGGTTCTTAGGCAATGCTTTCCCTCTATACAAAAAGGTATCCCTTAGGATAATAGTGTAAGTTTGCCACTTATTTTCAATTCTACAAAATTGATCTAAAACATCGCGATATGGATATGAAATGAAAGGTATTGTTGGGGACTTTGGTCTGGAAATATTTTCGATCAGGGTTGCCACGTTTCTATGTAATACAAACTTTATTTTGTTAATTTCAATCAGCAAATTTTTATGTATACACAGTACAAATACGCACAAGGTATGCTCTATTCATTCCAGCGTATTTCGGAATAGGGTTGCCACCTTATTTTTTCTCTAAGAAATTTACTTAATGCACTATTCATTCCAGCGTATTTCGGAATAGGGTTGCTACCTTATTTTTTCTCTAAGAAATTTACTTATTATTAATTATACCTTGGCTCAGCAAAAAAAAATGGGTTCTTTCCGAAATTGTCTGGAAAATACTATAGACTAGGGCTGTATGGCCAACTTTTGTTTGCTTTATTCTAAGAAAGTAAGTACAGTCTAATGCAAATAATTATCGACTATATTATTGAGTGTCACTTACCGGTGATCACCTGATCCAAGTAGGTCATTTCCATCATCGCCTCGTAAGTCAACTCGCCGCTGTACTTCTCCAGCACTTTGACAATTTCAGCTCTCGCTTTCTCCTGCACATGCGGATTCTTGGCCAACTCATATAGGCCATAAGTCATATTACTCGAACTGGTCTCAAATCCAGCAGCAAAGAATATGAATACCTGCGCTGCAATATCCTCCATTTTCATGGCAGGCATACCGTTATCGTCCCTAGTATTTTTCATCTCAATCAGCATGTTAATAAAATCGTTGCGTTGAATTTTCTGCTCCTCACGCAAACGCACCGTGTCACGCACCAGACGCATTATAAACTCTTCAACCTCTGTATTTGCGCGCTTAAATTTAAAATACTTTAGTATCTTAAATATCCCCGGATAGGTGATCAAAAACAAGCGCAGGCGTATTGAAAGAAAATTTGGATAGAAAATTTGCCGTCCAATGCGCCGAAATTCTACATTAGGATCTTTCAAACTATTGCATTCTACACCAAAGGCACAAGTGCCGATCACATCGGTAGTATAGCGTGCCATCATGTCATGCAGCTCAATAGCACCATCCTTGGCTTGCGTCAATTCCTTGCTGAAGGCCTCATCAAGCTGACGTGCCACCGCCACCAGTGTGGGAAACATAAACTTCATTTTGGCCGATGTGAATGTGGGTGAAAGTTTAACACGCAAAGGGCGCCACCTCTCACCGTGCAGAGCGAAAAGATTTGCGTCGATTGAATTGTCAAGATCGGAAGTAAATTGAAAACGATCGGTGAATTTATTGAAATCTTTAATAAGAATAGCCTTCACCAAATCCAAATCGAGTATTACCAATAATGGTTTGGTGAAGATGTATGTACCAACAAATTTGGCCTTGCCACGAAATTGCTGATAGGCATCGCTCACAATTTCCGATCTGCTTATGCTACGCAGGCGAGAGATGTTACCAAATAGAAAGTTCATTTTCATCTGGGGTACACCCAGCAGCTCCCAGTATTGATACTTGTAGCGCAGGTAGCTGATCAGCAGCGAGAAAAGTGTGGTGAATATTATAAGGTAGAAATCCATTTTGAAGCGCTGGAGTTGGCAGGAATAGTCGTAGTGGAGGAGAGATTTTATTTTTTTTTTAGCTGGTACAGATAATTTTCGGAGTTTTCACTTTTAGTAGTTATTATTTTTATTACGAGTATTTTCCTTTATTCATAAGCGTAATGTCAATCGCTGATTACTTAAATCACGATTATTTACGCTATTTTTCCAACTTTCCTTTACTTATTATTAGATTATTATAATTAAAATTCAAGTCTTTATTAAAGCACTTTCAAATATTTAAAGCACTAATACCTCTTTTGTAAAATGTTTCCGCGCGCCTAGCTCTTTGAACGCCTCAAAGCAGTAAGCGTATTCTAACCGACTGTCGTATAGAATTGCAAAACTCTTTTGCTTACTAAAAATCTATACACGAGCACCTCTGTATATTTGTAGAGGCATATACATAAGCATATATGTATACATATGTACGCTTATATGTAAATACTTAAGATTTAATCTATATATGGCGGTAAGTTTGTGGCTATCGTACGTTATTTCATTTTCATACACTGTTTATTTATCTAGCATTATCTCGAACAAAAACAATGCCAAATTTTTATAAATACCTGTTTTTTGCAATGATTTCTTTTTCACTAGAGTTCGTCTAGCATTTGAAATTCAACCACTAATGCTTGAAATACAATACCGGCGAAGGGCAAATTTCGCTGAATTGGGCGAAGCTGTCGTTCACCCTTCGCCCAGCTATTTCGCCTATTTAAACAAAATCAGCTGGTACCATTTGGTCGCCTTTATGATTTGGGTGACCATATTTTGGAAAAAACTAAACCATACTTAGAAATGAGGAAATAATAACAAATATAAATGTAAAACAAAGAGTGATTATTTCATTTCAATCAACAAAAAATACGAATTTTTATATTGTTTCCTTCTAAAACTTTAAAATCAAAAAATAAATACATACGGCCACCTTTGCACGTACAGCTGCCATCGCTCAAAAGGGCGATAGAAATAAATCTATTGCTATGAAACGCCGTCGAGCGAACTTCGCATTTCGCTTTGGTTGTGGTTTGTGGGTGTTCTAATTTAGACAGCGAGAATTTCGCTGTGGTAAACTAGCCGTTCGCCGGCACTGTATTTCAGCTATAAAGTTGAGATGAAATGAGGTGAGTTAGGTTGAGGTGAGTTAAGGTCAGTTGAGGCGAACTAAGATGAGTTGGTATGAGGCGATTTGAAACACTGAGAAAAAAACGCGTTGTAAAAATTAAAATTTTTTCCGTTTAAAAATTTTCGTATTTAAATCATGTGAAAAGTGTTCAAAATTGAATATTTCCATTATACAAACACTACGTATAATGGAAATACTCAATTCAAATACGCCCATATTAAAATGAAGCATCTTTCACTGCACGGATGGCGTTTTGCACGTCTCGGATGCTTTTTCATATTTAATTAAGAAAGTATATGTAAACAAAGCATATACAGCAGTGGCAACACATACACACATACATGATACATGTTTGTCTGCACAAATGCACTAATCGCGCGCTGTGATATTGATTCAAACCCAACATTTTAAAACACATTTACATGTATGACTGTAGCTGAGTGTGCAAAGACGCTTGATAAAGTTGGTTGCTGCCCAGAGGGTCTGGGTTCAATTACCATCAGACAGATCACAAAATTAAATTTATTTTTTTCTTCTTAATTACGAAAAAGCATCTGTGAACTTCACAACGACTTATTTTATAAAGTACATACTCAAATTTGAAGCGAGTTGGGCTGGTGCTCTTTCATATGCG